AAATTTCAGGTTAGTGAGGTTAGGCCGTTCTGACAAAATATGTTTCTCGTAACAAATTCCTGTCGAGCTTGATATCAGTTTGAAACAAACAAACAGACGATTCGATGGAAATATATTCTTCCCGTACTGCTTTAGTTCCCATGTTAAGTGGGTCCCTGTCACCATGGCATGGCGCGTCCTCAGGTTGCGGATGGAGGGAAGCTGCAAATATATTGAATAAGCAGTCGCGGAGAGCCGACAGGGGGTGGTCCTCAAGCTTGGGGTTTGGACGTGGAGCTAATAACTCATCACCATAAAAATAACCTTGTTACAAAAATGAATATGAGATTCGGTACGTGAAACGTCAGAAGTTGGTATAGGGCAGGTTCGCTAAGGGCAGTGGCAGAAGAAATCTTAAAATATAAGTTAGATTTAGCGGGAGTACAGGAGGTCAGATGGGATGGAGGTGGCATTGCACCAGCAGGAGACTATACATTTTTCTATGGAAGGGGAATGAAAATCGTGAAGTAGGTACAGGTTGTTTCGTACATAAGAGAATCATATCAGCAGTTAAGACGGCAGAGTTCGTTAGAGATAGGATATCATACATAATACTAAAAGGTCGCTGGTGTGATATCATTGTTATGAATGTTCACGCCCCAACAGAAGATAAAATTGATGACATAAAGGAGAGGTTCTACGAAGAACTAGAACGTGTATTTGATAAATTCCCGAAGTACCCTATGAAAATATTATTAGGAGATTTCAATGCCAAAGTAGGGAGGGAGGACATTTTCAAACCAACGATTGGCAAAGAGAGTTTGCATGAAATTAGTAATGATAATGGAGTTAGAGTAGTAAACTTTGCCACATCAAACATCATACTGTCAAAAGTACAGTGTTCCCACATCGTAACATCCATAAATTTACTTGGACATTTCCTGACGGGAATATATACAGTCAGATAGACCATACTCGTATTTTGTTAGATAGGAGACGGCATTCAAGCATACTTGATGTCCGATCATTCAGGGCAGCAGATTCTAATACTGACCACTGCCTCGTGGTGGTAAGGGTTAGGGAAAGACTGGCAGTGAGCAAACAAACAACACAGAGTTCATATGGGGCGATTCAATCTCAAGAAATTAAATGATGTAGAGGGCAAAGAGCAGTATCGTGTTGAAATCTCAAACAGGTTCACGGCTTTGGAAAACTTGGACATTTAAGTGGATGTTAATAAAGCTTGGGAAACTATTAGAGAGAATATAAAAATGTTTGCCAAGGAGAGTCTAGGTTATTATGAACTGAAGAAGCATAAGCCATGGTTCGATGAAGGATGCTCAAAGTTACTAGAACAAGGAAAACAAGCCAAATTGCAATGGTTACAGAATCCAAACGAAATAAATAGGGATAATCTGAACAATATAAGACGTGAAACCAGCAGGCATTTCAGGAGCAAAAAGAGGGAATATCTGAAAGACAAAATTGATGAGCTTGCAATGAACAGTAAGAACAAGAATATTAGAGACCTGTATAGTGGAATATGACTTAAAGAGGGGTTACCAACCTAGAAGTAACTTAGTGAAGGATGAGAAAGGTGATCTGCTTTCAGATTCCCACAACATTTTGAATAGGTGGAAGAACTACTTCTCTGAGTTATTGAATGTAGGTAGGGTCAGTGATGTTAGGCAGACAGAAATGCACACAGCTGAGCCGTTAGTACCTGATCCTAGCCCTTTTGAGGTCGACATTCTTATTGCAAAATTGAAAAGTTGTATATCGCCAGGTAGTGATCAAATTTCGGCAAACTTATTCATGCTAGAGGCTAAATATTACGTTCTAAGATCTGTAGGCTAATTACTTCTATTTGTCATAAAGAAAAATTACCTGATAAGTGGAAGGAGTCTATTATTATACCGGTTTACAAGAAGGGTGATAAAACTGACTGTAGTAATTATCGGGGGATATCACTGCTATCAACTTCATACAAAATTGTATCCAATATTCTTCTCTCAAGGTTAAGTCCATATATAGATGAAATTATTGGGGATTATCAGTGTGGGTTTCGACATAACAGATTATCTACAGATCAAATATTTTGCATTCGGCACATATTGAAGAAAAAATGAAATACAGTGTGACAGTACATCAGCAATTCAATGATTCATTTAGGAGGGAAGTATTGTACAGTATTCTGATAGAGTTTGGGATACCCATGAAACTAGTTAAGCTGATTAAAATGTTTTAAAACGAAACATATAGAAATGTCCGTATTATAAAAATATTTGTCTGATAAATTTCCTATCCAGAATGGTCTAAGAAAAGGAGATGCTTTATCGCCACGCCTTTTCAACTTTGCTTTAGAATATGCCATTAGGAAATTCCAAGGAAACCAGGTGGAACTAAAATTAAACGGGACACATCAGCTGATGTAAATCTACTGTGTGATAATGTAGATACCATAAAGAAAACACATAAAGTTTACTTGACGCAAGTGAGGAGGTTGGTCTAGAAGTAAACACAGAGAAAACTAAATATATGTTGCTATCTCGTCACCAAAATGCAGGGCAAAATCATGATATAAAGATAGGAAACAGACGTTTTGATATTGTGGCACAGTTCAGATATTTGGGAACATCGAAAACAAATCAAAACATGATTCGGGAGCAAATTAAGAGGAGATTGAACTCGGGTGATGATTGTTACCATTCAGTCCAGAAACATTTGTCTTCTCGTCTGCTGTCAAAAATCATAAAAATTATATTATACAAAACTATAATTTTGCCTGTGATTCTGTATGCGTGTGAAACTTGGTCTCTGATATAAGGGAGGAACACAGACTGAGGGTGTTTGAGAACAGGGTGTTGAGGAGAATGTTTGGACCGAAGAGAGATGAAGTGACAGGAGGTTGGAGAAAACTGCATAATGAGGAGCTTCATAACCCGTACTCTTCTACAGGTAATTCCTGTAATTAGAATGATCAAGTCAAGGAGGATGAGGTGGGCAGGGCATGTAGCANTGAATGGGGGAGAGAAGGGATGCATATAGGGTATTTGTGGGAAAGCCAGAAGGAAAGAGACCACTGGGAAGACCAAGGCGTATTTAAGCGGAAAATATTAAAATGGATCTTAGAGAGATAGAATTGGATGGTATGGATTGGATTGATCTGGCTCAGCTTATGGACCAGTGGAAGACTCTTATGAACACGGTAATGAACTTTTGGGTTCCATAATTTGCTGGGAAGTTCTTGAGTAGCTGCAGATTTGGCTTCTCCCCAAGAAGGGCTCAGCTCCATAAGTAAGTAAGTAAGTAAGTAAGTAATTGGTTTAGTTCGTAAATTTCGTGTAAAAAATGAGATTCCTTTACTTATTTATTTCACTACTGGAAGAAAATAAGGGCCCAGGCAAAAGTATTCAGATAAGAAGGAAGTGAAGGTATCCCTGTAACAGTCCTTGGGGTCCCTAGGGTTGTGACATGTCGAAGCTTCCATATTTTCTAGACAATCGGCTCACAGATGGCGGTGAGGTCAGCCTTAAGCACTGGCCACCCTTTACCCCCAGGAAGATTCCTGGCACTTATTTCTGTTAGAGGTGAGTCAACCCAGGACCATATTTCGTCTGGAAGGATTAGGTAAACTGAAAAAGTCCAATGACATCATCGGGAATCGAACCCGCGGCCATCCGCATTTTGGCATGATGCCTCAACAAACTACGCAACCGCTTTCCCCAATATTAAGGTAAACTTTGTCTAAACATTCTTTGCGGGCACGCTGTTCCTTGAGGACGTAGTCTTACGGAAAGAAAATTCTCTTTTTTCAACGAAGTGTCCGGTATGGCACCAATCGTTTATTAAAATTAAAATCTAGTACTCTCTAACGAAGCCGTAATGATTTGTCAGTTCAGAGCTGTCGCATTTTTTTACGAGGGATGAGTTCAAGAAGACCTTGCATAATTCAAGACAAGTTTCATCATAGGAATAAATGTACTGCCGAAGTCTTCGGGATTTGCTTCATTTCAAACTTTTCTGATAAAGTGATTTTCGCTGATATTTTGTTATAGTGCACTTTTTCAAATATAAATAATTGAAATTCGCATAAAATGCGGCCACACTGTGTCCGACAATGACGCACCCTCAAAGATGATTTACTGTTTGCTTATTTCTGGTTTCTAGCGATAGGTGTAATGAGTTTCGATTTTTAAGTTTTACTTTTCAAAGCCTCTTACGACACCAGCAATTTGTTCTGAAGAAGCCTGTGCTGTCAAACACTGTTGTCTGTTTTCAGGGCAATATTTCAGAGTGGAATAGCAACAATGGCATCCTGATATAAACATATTTCACAAAACAGTAAATTGTTTGCTGATGGACGAAACTTCAGTTACGAATTTTGATATAAAATCCTGAACTTCCACAGTTACTCTAATATTTAAGCTCCTTTCGCCTTTAGTGAAAAGCCCGACCAGAATTTTTGGGTTACTTAATACTGAGAAGTTAAAGTATGAAAGCGCAATGGCAAGGTCATATTTGTCTGTTTGCATATCCTGCCTTCGAAACATCTTAACGGGCTGTCATAAAATTCAATATTGAGATATTCAATAAACGTTATACCATGAACTGAAATTTCCTTCCTGTCGATTCACTCGCATTACGCAAAGGTAAAAGTAAACAAATTCTTCAAAATGGCTTCCCGCAACAAGTAATATCCCCCACATTCAAATCTCATTAAGATGCAATCCTATAATGATTACGGATACTATTTAATACAATACAATGACATATAATTAATACTTTTATGTAGTGTGATAGATAAGCTTTGTCAACATCAGAATGTATGTACCAATGTAGTGTTTTATTTGAAGTGTTTGTTAGCTTTGTCAACATTCGGTTAGTTTCTGCAATAAACGAGCATCATGACCAATGAAAGATGGAGATTTGTTAACAAACTAATTTGAAAACTAGACATCTTGTTTGGCATGAGATCCGACTGCTAGCACCACGATCAGCAGTTTATGATGTGTACTTACCTCCAAACGGAGACAGCGTCTCACAACACATTGCGTAGCTGTATATACCAATTGCACGTAAGCCACCTGCACACGAAACAAGCACCGCTTCGCGACATTTTGGGGTTGGTGCTGAAAATACGCCCGGCATCCTCAACCGAGTTAGAAAGTCGAGTGGCTGCTACAGGTATTCACAGGTAGGGAAGAAAGGGAAAAGCGTAAAAAAGGAAGAAGTGTGTTGGAACTGCAAGCCAAGTGCTGCTGCTGCTGCTGCCAACCGGTTTTCCTCGTGGCCTCGGGGGTCTCTAAGCTCGACAGGAGACGCCATCACTCTCAAAACAGCAATAGCGTAAGTGCCACCCAAACAACCTTCGCCGTCGTACCATATAACCCATACCACAATTTGCAAGCGAGGGGTTCAAGTCATTGACTGTACGTTCAGAAGACCACTAACATGCACACTGTTCGCAACTGCCTCTCCAGCACGTATCCTGTGGTACAAATATTGTGTGTCTGGACATTATCCATCGCCCTTTCTATATTTCAAAACACAGCGTATCGGAGAGTAGATTCTGTCTCCGTCTTCAGGTAAAACCTACTCAGTTGGGTCCCTATCTCCGGAGACAGGGACAAGTTCTATCGATTGAGCCTAACTGAGTAGGTTCCACCTGAAAACAGAATCCATTCTCCGAAACGCTGTGTTTTGAAATAAAGACAGAGCGATTGATACTGTCCAGAAGCACCATATCTGTACTAATGTACCATCATCACAAACTTTGATCTTATTTACGTTTCCCGCTGATCTAAACTCCAATGAAAAGTTATTTGTGGAGGTGGCGCTGTGTGTGCACGGTGGGTACTGAGAAGTTTCTTTCGCTTTCTTTTACGAAATTCTGTAGAAAAAGAAAGATTTTGAATTTGAGGTTCTCCCAGTGGTGACCATGAAGAATAATATTGTATGTTATCGTTGTCATGGAAATGTAACGAACACATAACATTTCTTGATATAACATCAGAAGGTGCGGGATAAAGGACAAATTGTAGAATATACAAATTCAAAAGTTTCCCATAATACGAAGTGTCTGTGATGACATGAAGTCCACTTTATTTAAAAAAATACTTTAAAATAAAATATTTATGCTAAAAGACCAATATATTTTTGATAGTATAGTTAATTTGTAAATTTATTTAACACAACATTGCTTTTGTTAATTATTTTTCAAATTTCCCCCCAAATTAAATCCTATATGTGTAAAGGTCACATATATCAAGCTTGGCGTATCTTGCACATTTGAGTTTCTCAAATTAACTTCCCTGACCCGCTAATTAACAAAGCAAACAAACGGATGTAACACAGATGGAAGATGGAACGGTTACAAGGATTGCTTAACACCCATCCCTCTGTTCTGACTGACTCATTCCATGGAGCTCAGTTTTTCAAAGGAATCTTACAGTGACTCAGCTGTTCAAGAAATTGTCGGCCTCCTGCGGAACCCAAAGATTTGTTGTGGTATTCTGGAAAGTGACGACATTTATTCAGTGGATGTTACCCTCATTTGCCCTGAAGCTTCAGTCAGCACGTTCTTCCGAAACGTCCATAACGATCTACCGAATAACAGCATCATCAAGACAGAAAACAGGAGGCAGTAATTTGCAGAGCCACCGCCTTAAAAGTAAAGCTGACCCTTTGTTTAATTAATTAAGCACCACGCCTTAAAGACGTATGGGGGAGTGGAGGTATAGCTCCACCAATCTTGACATCGGCACTAGATGGAAGTAAGTGGTCAGCTTCATATCCTGGTCGCTTTACCCTCGGGGAAAGACCCCTTCCCCGTGACCTACTGGATATGAGGCTAGGTGGGTTTCAGAGCCGGTCTGGACGCTGGGGAGTAAAGAAAAATCTCTTGCTTGTGAGGGGAATCGAACTGTGACTATCCAGTGCTCAGCCCATCGCTATACCGACTAAACTATCCCGACTCCCACATTCACCACCGTGCGCAACTGAAATCTCGCGTTCATAGGAGAGAGACGTTGGTCCCCATTCTCGATTCAAATAAATCCAAACCACGCGAAAATTTCGTATGCATTACTCAGTCTACCATGCGTGCTGCAAGCCCAGATAGACTACTGAAATTCCATTTTATGAGAAGTCGACAGTCTTGTAGGAGCAATCGACGTCTGCCATGATGCGAGAACAGAGAAATATAATTAGGGCTTAGATTTTCTTTTCAACTAACAGTATTCCTAAGACTAAATCAAGAGGAATTAGATGAGTAGGACTTGTAGCATGCATGAAACACGAGATATGCATACAACTAGAAGACTTCAGTGGTCCAAACCGTCTGAAATATTTGAGCGTAAATGGGGGAGTAGCACTAAAATGGATCTTAGTAAAGAAGAGTGTAAATACGGACAGAACAGATGCTCTTCAGGACATGGCTCAACTGGCGAGCTTTTATGAACATGACATGAACATCTACTTTATATAGAAGCGCAAATTTCTTTGGCCATCTGAGTAACTATCAACTTTGAAGGACGATCCTGCATCATGGATTTAGTAAATTCGGTAGCCAGTCACCTAAAGAGCACCGTCTTCTGGGATCTAACACATATCTATCAAAATATACGGTGTTACAACCCAAAAGATAGTATTCTTTGAAATCGGAGCTATGAGACATTCATATCCAGTAAACTTCACTAAGTTACACACCTTAACATATCTAACTCACTACAGAGACTTACAAATCAATTAGGTTCATTCATTCAAAACACAATATCTGTCAAGAAAACAATTTTATTATTTGTGAGGATATCGTTTGGGGGCTCTTGCTAACGCGGTAATGAACCTTCGGGTTTCCAAAAAATGTTGGGAAGTTCAGGACTAGCTGCACAATTGGAGTCTTCTTAAGAAGGGCTCACCTCCATGAAGTTTGTTAATTATTTGTTTACTGCCTGTTTAAGATAAATGTATAGCTCTCCTTATGTTTAATTCTGCATCACCATGAAACTGGATGAGGGAGTGGAGGTAGAGCTCCACCATTCTTCACTTTGGCACTAGATGAAAGTGAATGGTCAGCTTCCCACTCTATTCAAAGCCTGCCTGGACGCTGTGGAGAAGAATAAAACTGTTCATTTGCCGTGAATCGTCCATCCAATAGTACTGTACTCACCGAGATATGTAAGGTCCTTGGTTTAGAGGTAAGGCTTCGTATTATTCCGAGATACTCGGTTTCAATAATGACCTTGACAGAGATTTTTCCGTTTCCTCAGTCTGTCAGGTGAAGGTTGGGAAGGTACCTTGAAACAGACCATGGCCATCTCCTTCCAAATGTTTAATTACTCATTATTTGTGCATAATTTCTTTCGATGTTATACAGGTCTAACTACTGCAGCGGGAACGGTGTCTTTAAATAACTCAAGAATAAATAAAAAAACGTGCCTATTTACATTGTGGTCTACTCGGTTATGATACCATGTAGACCGATGGGTGGAACACAACCGCTTTTGAGGAACATGCTGCCTCTATCTTCAGGGTAGAAACACTGGCAGTAAGATGTACCTCATACAATATATAAAATTTGATGGTCCCACGGTAAGTGAAGATTACCATCTTCAGAGATAGTAGGTTGTAGTAGGTTGTTAGCAACATTTCGGGGCAACTTTTGCCTCTATAGTCAGGGTGGAAGACAAATTTAGCGGACTGCAAGGCCTCAGATCCCAGAAGGCAGCAGTCTTCCTGGCAATAAGTTGATTCTAACATTCCTCAGTACCTGCTTACAGTGTGGTTTCTTGACCCAGAAGACCAACAATATGAACCTTCAACGTCAAGAAAAAACTCAGTTTCTACCACACCGTGTTAACTAATTCACCAGTTAAGTAAATGTGTGTTAACCAGGTAATTTACTAATTGCAATCAATATTTATTTTGTCGGTCGAGAAGTTCTGTGTTATCACAGAAAAGGGATAAAGCGTCAGCAAGCCCGAAAGGTGTCTTAGGCCACTCACCTGCTTCAAGAATTGTTGAGAGAAAAGAGTAGGCAGGGAGGCAGGATAAGAGAGAGTAAGTATGCTGAGGAGACGCGGGCAGGATACGAGAGATGTAAGAAGAATGAAACAAAGGAAACCCTGAGGAAAAGAAATGACTGACAGAAAGTCTTCTCTCTGACAGCCTGGATTCGAGATGTGAAGAAATGGCGAAGGAGTATGGAGAAGAGGGTGAGGGGGAGGGGAAGAGAGACTTGCGCTTGCGCAGCTTTCTTGTGAACGTGCCCAGACAGCAGCGCCCCAACTGTGGCTCGGCAGGTGGCAATACCTTTCCTTGCAGAAGTGCTTAGCAGAACGTCTGGAAATTAGGGACAGATGAAGAGGCACATAATGTTTTATATTCGGAAAGTCGTGTGTTGAGATCTCGGCTGTCCTGAGGTTTTCCTCAGCCCCTCTCCAGAAAACTGCACCTCGAAGAAGGACGATCGCATTTTTCCAGACCCACTCCAAGTCGGGATAGCTCAGTACGTATTGGGACTAGGCTATGGTCTGGACTGTATAGGTAAAGGGGTTCGATTCCCGACAGAACCAAGATATCTTTCTCTTCTCTATAGCGTTCAGACCGGCTCTGTGACCCACCCAGCCTTCTATCCAATGGGAAGCGAGGCGTGAAGCTGGCTATCCGACTCCGTTTATTGTCGAGGTTAAGAATGCATGGATCTATACCTCCACTCATACATAAGATTTCGTGGCGTAGTACCTAATAAATCAGAAGGACTACTTCCAACTATTTATTCGTTTCTTTTTTTCCTTTGGCGCTACAGCCCCAATTTGGGCCTTGGCCTACCTCCAAAAAAGTCTCCGTTAAACTTCGGTTTACTAACTCTTAGACATTCGGTAGGATTCCTTGGGCAGGTGATCAGCTCGTCGAAAGGCCTCTACCTGTACACAAACACAGGAAAACGCACATACACACACAAACACCAAACATTCATGCCTTGAGTAGGATTCGAACCCACGATCTCGGCTTCCGAGCGAGCGAAGACAGTGCACGCCTTAGACCGCTCGTCTACCATGACCACCAGTTACCAAATATTATTCCTTTCTGCGCTGCAGGTCTATAGTCCCATTTACCAGCCGCGTTGGCAAGGTGACGACGGTAATCTCCACGCAGTCCTCACCTCGGGGCTGCTGGAGGAGAGTGGT